CCGCCCATCTCCGTTCCAAGCTCCCTAACTGCAGAGGTATAGGTATGGATTTGTGTGTTTTATTTATGTCCAGTAATCCTGAGGTATAGGAAATACCACTGATGCAGAATGTGACTGAAGAAGGAGAGCAAAACAGATTAAAAAAGGGGAAAGGAGACATGCTATCTAAGCAAACTGTACACAGATCATTTCCAGTACTACTCATTTCATGATGTCCTAACACCGTCTACTTCGGTCTTCTGAATGTATCTCTGAAGCAGTAAAATAATTATATTATAATCCAAATGTTTATAAAATAGCAGCACACTCAAGTGATACATCACAACTAGGTAATGTTATTTTTTTTTTTTTGTATAAATGAAACAAATTCATAGCTTTTAGCAGCGCAAAAAGACAACAATAACAACTTTTTGATGTCTTCACACCTCCTCCTCTGTCCTCTTCACTTTGGAATACAGTATCTCTGAATATTAGAAAAACCCCTTTTGTGGGCCTGGTCACCCCATAGCATCAAGCACAAACTGAAAAAGGTGGTCTCAATACATAACACATAGAACTATAAACTGCACGAAGGAAAAAAAAAAAATCACAACCATTAAGTTTGGGCAAGAGCTTACATCAGGGAAACAGAGGCGAAATAAAGGGGTCATGTCAAATATTCATACAGGGATAGTTTGGCAAATATGTCATTAAATTGCCAGTTTTACTAAAAAAAACACTGCTAAAACATTAGATGTCCACATTTTTCTTCAGTCTGACAAATATACACGCAACAAATCACACATCATGAAAAACTCAAGCATTAAGTCACAGACACCTTGTTGTGTCCCACTAACACCAAGCAAATAATCTGTGTCTTGTTTTGTGCTGATGCCTGTCTGGCTGATGAAGCCCTCTGCCAGTGATGTGACACAGCAAAGCTCACAAGGCACAGATGTGCTCCCCTGACAGACTACAAGAGCCAGCACCATAAAAAAACCAACCAACCACTACAGCACACATCACTTAAGGTGGTTCTCTATCTTAAAAATGCAAACCTCATTGCCCTCTGAAGAACAAATACTGGATGTTACGACCACCCTTTGTTGTAGCTCACCCCTGCCCTGTGTGACTATCTGTGGCTGTGATCCAGATAAATACAAAGAAAACTTCAAGTAAAAACAAATATTTCATGTCTTGACAATGTAAAAGACAATCAAACAGAACTCACGGATCAGTGAACTCTATGTGTAGGCATTTTCCGATTCATAATTACATTTTGTTTTTATTGTGCGATGGTCAGACTCCCCATCAACTTGCACTTTGATTGAACAGGAATGTTTTTTGTTTTGATCGGAATGTCCTTTCAGCGTTGTGGAAAGCGCTTTTAATCTGACTTTTGCTTGACAAGGGTATGTCTGATGATTGGGAAACCAGCCCTACAAAATATACCAAAGAAAAGGCTAACAAGGAAAAAATAAAATAAAATATCCATTCACCTCCAATCACCACTCAATGACTTTCATTTCAATTGCCTCCTGGGGAGCATCCTCTCAAAGTGCTTTGCCATTGAAGTCATATAGGGGAGCTGAAAACAACCCCATGCAGGAGTCCAGATGCACTGACAATATATTATCATCCCGTACTCCGCTAACCCCCCAAGCCCCCCAATCCCACCCCAAAATAGTTCATTAACATCACATGGTCTGGCAGCATATAGTTGCTCATTTCATTTCTGTGTAAAATGAAAACTTAGAACATATTTATTCCATTAAGTGTGTCATTGTAGACATCCATTACAGGAAATGAATGTTGATTCCACCTAAATATGCAGGACTCAAAGTTTTACCATGAGGCTTATAGGCATCTATTGTTCATGATCATCTTCAATCCACTGGCTGTACATCATCCGCTTCTCCTACACAGCAGCATGCTCTTGCACCATCAACATCCTCCCTGTCCCGCCATCCTGTGCTGTGCACTCCTATGTTCTCCACAGTTCCACAGTGACTTCATTGCAAAGTGTCCTCTTTCTAATTCTTTCCGCAACACACCCTGTTCCTTCCCTGCTAATTAATTTTTTAGTTTTAAAAGCATGACTTTTTTTCTGAAACATCGTCTGCGCCTGCTTTCACATGCGCCGTACTTGGTGCACATGCAAGGAGTCTGAGGTGAGACACATCAGGAAAAATACTCTTAGACAGATCAGGGCTCTAGGTGAAAGTCCCTTTGCCTGTATCCTTTCTCACTCATAGTCCTTGCTGGCCGACAATGAACCATGATACACTGTTAATGCACAAAGGCAGTGATATAGCATAGATGCCCTGTTATACTGGTGGATTAAATGTATGACAATGAATAGCCCCTTCCTGCTTCCTTTAACACAACTCTAAGTCTATGACTTGACTTAGTTTAAGTGCCTCACACTGTAGGATGGACACTGCTAAGCATTCACATCACGTACACACTCACATGTAGGCACACACAAACATGCATGCAAACTGGCATACTCACATACAAACACACACTTGCACATTGTACTAACAAACTGACACCCACACACCCACACGCACACAAGCAGCCTGACAAAAGGAGCTTATTGATCTCTACTACACAGATCCAAAATATGTATAATAATAATAATGATAATAATAATAATAATAATAATAATAATAATAATAATAATAATAATAATAATCCCATCTCTTTCCTGGAATTGGGACCTATCAACTTTAGCATAATGTTCTCACAGTGTCCTCTGTCTCATCCTTGACATGTGAACCTTCTGATGGATGAGAGGCTCAAACATGTCCTCTCTTACACCGGCCATGAATTTAATAGGGATAATACTCATATAGAACAAAGCAGAGGCAAAAAAAACTTAAGCTCCACTGTAATCCCATGTATGCCGTTTCTGAATGGTTTCCACAACTTCTACTATAACGGCCTCATTATCAAGTTATGGTTAAAATATAGCTTAATTGTTTATACTATACAACCAAATACATAATGGAAATATGATTTGCTTCCCTTCTGTATATCCAACACACTGCAGAGCTTCATCATGTTTAAAATTTAGACTAAAATATCATATAAAATTTATGTCAAAAGGTAGGTGTGAAAAAAATGAAAAAAAAAAATTGCAAGCATTGTTCTTTTTTTTTTTTCAAATACCATGTGTTTTTAGCATTTTTTGTTCTTTTGTTCTTTTTTTCTGCTTTTTCCCCACAATGCAGTTTCTTGTTGTTGTTGTAAATGTTGTGCAATGACGCCCTCTGGTGGTTCACAAGTTGACATCACGGACATCTGTCGGGGTGGAGGATTGATCCAGCTCATCCAGACCTTTATCACTGGGGCCTCTCTGTGTCTGCTGCTGCTGCTGCTGTTGCTGCCGCCCCTCACGCAGACTGCTCATCAACACGCGCTCAATCTGCTCCTGACACTCTTTGAGAACGTCCTGCGGTGCAACAAGAAGGGAAGAATAACAATGAAAGAATATATCCATTTTAACCTGCTAATAGAGACATGAAGTTTCTTTTCCTTCTTGAACATTGTCACTTTAATCTCATTTTACATCTCCTTTTTGACTTGACTGTCACTTCAAAACATCTAAGTGAAACATTTTGGTAATTGAAATAAAGTAAAACTTGATGATGGGACATGAGAGCAACTTTTTCTTCTGATTTAAGACTTCATATCCAGGTGAATTAATTTGGCAACACATGACTTTTAGAACGAAGGCTTAAGCCAAATAATGTTCACCTGTAAACTTTCTCCATAGCTGAATACAACAGTTAGCTAGCTGTTCGGTATTTTAATGATGTCAGGTTTGCTCGGCCGCTCTGGCCTCCCTCACCTTTCCTACTGTCTCTTGCCCATTAACACTAATCACGTTCACCTGTTCCTCACTCCCTTATCACCAGCTGCACTTGATTAGGTTGCTCACTATATTACCCGGTTTCACTCCTCAGTCACTTGCCAGTTCGTTCTAGTCTCTAGACCATTTATTCTCCGTGCTCTTTCGTTGTTTTGTATGTATTTATCCCCTAGCCAGCTACTGTTTTGTGTTCCCCCCATGGACTGTTCCTCCGGACCATGGCTCCACTCTCTCCTCCCAGGCAGGTCAATGCTCAGTCGCCTATCTGTTCTACTATTGCCTTCATCTCTCTGTCTCCACCTTCAGTAGCCACCATCACCACCGACCAGCCCAGGAGTGACCCAGCCTACGCAGCTCGGCCCAGTTCTCCATCTCCTCACCTCCTGCTGTTGGTCAAACACCCGGTTACTACTCATCGACAGGACTACGCACTATTTCCCTCTGTGTATTTTTACTCTCCTCATCACTGTACATATTAAATCACTGCTTGCATCGAAGTCGGCTACCTGGGTCCGCCTCTTTCTCGTTCGCTCACTGACTGGTGCGAACGGCACATAACAAATGAAGCTGTAAGGTTCAGTAGCAATTGGAAGATATAGTACCAATGTTCCTCAGAGGAGAAATCGGCTTCAGCAATTATCACGATTAAAAGGAGAAATCTGGAAACTCGATTCAATGCCAGAGGAAAAGAGGTCCTTAGGGAGGCAACAGAGGGGCACCTGGGCCATGCAGGCCAGCTGTTTTAAATGACCGCCGACTCTCTAGCAGCTCCAGCTACTGCCAAAGCTGAACACAGACACGTACCAGAGCCAAACATTACATCAGCCCACCAGGGTTGTGTGCTGAACACCAACCTTATAGTGCTTATATGCATGGAGACACATATGCAGACACACACACACACCACCCAGCTACCTCACCAACTCTGCCATTCCCAGACACACACAAAACCCAAACAGAAGTAGCCTTGACAACGGTGGCTGAAAACACAGGTAGTACTAAAGCTATGTTAATCACATCCACCTCCTCTGGGAACACAAAGGTGGTGCTTTTTAAACGAGAGCCAGTCTGTGTGCCTGCCTGCAGGGGATCCATCTGAGACCTGGCCGGCTCGCCTCCACCATCAAAGGCTTCCATAGCAATTTGAGAATCCACCTGGGAGAGAAGCCTTTCAATAGTGCTGAGCCCTTATATCCTTCCCTGATGGAGGGTTGACAGAGGGGACAGTGCAGTGCAGGAGGAGAGAGCAACTCACTGGGGATGAGAAAGAGCAGGAGAAAGGAGGGGGGGTAAGTAATAGGAGTGCTGAATGGGTTGTTAGCAAGAACGTAAGAGAGAGGTCAAACTGTTTTAGGGTCATTAAAGAGAGAGCAGACTGTCGCAATTTGACAAATCAATATGAAAGTTCCTGTCAGTCACACTCAATAAAGAGAGTCAACACTGCTCTCTGGTGGTCAAACACTGTAACACAACTGAAGCCAAGTACCTTGCTTTCAGTACTACAAACACACACATGCATAACTGCCTGCCTTAAAGCACCAGGCATCTGCAGGAACTGTGGCTGAGAGCCCCCTATGACCGGAGGGAAGGGTGAATGTGTACCACTTGTGGAGCAGGGAAACATTTTTCAAAAATGTACAGCTAATTTAAACCTGATGGGCCACTGTTTGGGCCTGTGTTATAGCTTATGGTGCTGCTGGGCCTCAGTAAAATGAGAGCTAAGACCTCACTCACACAAGAATTGCTCTTCGGGAGCTGCACATGGCTGAGTGACAAAAGGTCACGGTGTCAAAGGTCAAATAGCATGACACACAGGGTGAGACATACATCGTGTTGTCAAGGGGAATGAGTTCCTAGCTTCTAACCCGACTTTCCAAACTAGTCATTTGTTGAAATTCTTTAGAAATCGAATCTCTTTAAAAAAAAAAACAACTAAGAAATCTATCACACTTTATGACCACTGGTGAAATGACTCAGACAACAGGGATACATCTGCATGACAAAGTAACTCCTACTTTGATATTTCTTTTATTCCTCTAGCATCTACTGCTGTTTAGATTGAGAGGGCTTTTTAAGGATGACCAATGTGATGTGAGGAGGTTCGGTGGGAGAATGTTTCTCCCAGCAACAGGTCTGACATGGAGGAAACCTCACCGGTGTCTTTCTCCTTCACACTCATACACATGTGTCTTTTCATTACTATTGGGGACTTTTGATATAAGCTCTCTGAACTGCACCCATGTTTCCCTCACTTGCAAATTTTCCTCATGTCTTAGTCCAGCCCATGCAAAATGCAAAATGCAAGGAATAGAATCATGGAGAATGTCCAGGTAGACAAGAGCTGTCTTTTCCTTCAGCCTTGAAACATCCTTCGATATGTTGAACCAGGATGACTGCTGGGTCCAGCAAGGATCTGTCAGATAAGAATGGGGATTTACCCATTGACTTACATTACTTCCTGGAGACTTATCCTAACATTAACCATAACCACTACTTGCCTAACCCTGGCGCTGACCTAACCCTAACAGTAAGCCAAGTTGCCAACCTAAAATTCAGTGATTTAGATGGTGGGGATCATCTGAGTCCCCGCAATGTGAGTGTGTAAACAGGTTTCAATGCCAGGTGTGTGCATGCATACACATACACTCTCTTCCCACCACCATGTGCCCTATTGGTCATGAATTCTCAATTCCTGTAAGAAAATTAAGTAAAGCACACAACATGTAAAGGAACTGCCTGTGTCTTACCACAGGAATGCACGGCTTCACTTCTTAAAAGACATTCTCTCCCCGTCCCTGCTGCTCTTTACAGCGGCACTGTGGATCACATGCCAAGCTCCATGGGCTTTATTCAAGAAACTTTAATGACTTCAGTGTGTGACTACTGGAAACACCAATTCTGTTTTCAGAGACGCACTAGCTACGTGGATACTGAGGGTCCTAACAGCACTGAATAACTTGGCCACAGGAGGTAGTGCTATACTAAAGCATCTTATTTTGCAGCCTGAACCCGGAAAACACATGACTACGCTTCTGTAGTTATAGTCCTCCCTCTGCCCCCACCTGAAACAATCATCATACTGCAACAATCTGCTGTGATAAAACCAGGCGTGCCATGACAATAACAGCAGGGGGGAAGTTGTGCAGACAGACAAAACCAGAAGCAAAAGATGTGTGAAGCCATGGAATGTGTTTTAACTGCTGACAGTGTTAGCGGCTGTGAGAGAGGACTTGGTGGTCAGACAGCCGAAACCGACACACAGGCAGAGACACACACTGACAACACACACTCTCAGGGACTCTTAAAACAAAACATCCAGGGGCATCAGAAATAGAGAGCCTACACATGACTTGAACTGCCACGGGTTATAATATAAAATGTGACCTTTCTCTTTCTTTAGCCTGTATACTGAAACACCACAAGCGGTGACGCCACAGGGTGTGTTAATAGAGATAATCTTTCCTAATAAAAGCATTTTTGTTGCAAGCATTTTGGCTCTTACACATTACTGTTGGAAAAACCAAAACATTTCAATTTACCTCCTAGCCATTGTGCAACGTCTATGAATCTCAGAGATACAGTAGTTAGGCCACAGTGGAAACCACAGCGAAGTAAAAAGAGCAATGAAAACAGAAGACAAGGGGAAAATGGGAAAATGTGTTTCCGGTGTCTTAGTGTGTGACCCTGACTGGAAAAAAGATGAATGAGAGCCAGAGGGAAAAAGCGATAAAATCTCGGAAGTGGTGGTCTTAAACCCATGCACTTCTCTAACCTCTATTTCCTGTTTTAATCATTCATGAATAAAGGGAGGCTCTGCACACTTGGCCTCAGTGTAGAGTTTGTGTTGCAGCTTCAGTCCCAGTGTTCTTAAGGTCACTACAGTTGACCTGTACAGGAGAATGGAGTACAGGAAAATCACAGCTGATCTGTCTCCCACTACATGTGCAACACATTTATATAATTTCACATCTTCACATCTTCATGACTTGACTCTCAGGCGCACAGCTACGTCTGCTACCCCCAGCAGAGAGCCCCTCTTGGCCACACTATATCTATGTGAGGGTGCACACATTCTTCCAGCAGCCCAAGACGGTGACTTGGCCCTATCACATTTCCACTGGAAAACCACAGCTTCTGGATACCACAGATGCCAGCAGAGTGCCAGGGGGTGGCATTGGCCATGATGCTGTTGGCAGCAGCAGCTGCAGAGGTTGGCGAAACTTGCTTTGCCTTCGTATTTTGCCTGGCTCTTTGGCTGGCTTGCTATGAGACGCTCTACCATCGTGCTGACCCTCTATCCTGCCGGCCAAAACCAAATACAGTATATTATGTGAACACATTCAGACTAGGGTTGGTACCACCACCCTGATGACTAGTCTTGAAACTGAGGCGGAGTTAGACCTTGGGTATTGACTTGACATGCACAGAGGTGTGGCTGTTGAGTAAAGCAGGGTAAAAGTGTTAAAATGATATAGTCAGCTATCACCATATCCTCTTTTTAGTATGTAAACGCCTCAAAGTGCTCAAACAGCAACAAGCAGTGCAAATAGCACCGAAATCACTTATTAAAGCTGACAATTAATTCTGGGCATTTATCATTAGACTGTTTTATATCACAAGTGGTCACGTGTGGTCTGATGCAAGTTCTTCAGTGATTTTCTGAATTAAAAGAAACTCTGTGGGTTTCGTTTTGGCTGCCTTCTTAGCAACTTATACTAAAGCCCTTTATATATGTTGAATTAGGAAGGGTGCCCCCTGCTTTGCCTTGTGTGTTTACTGCAAGCCACAGCTTGTCTGAATCCTGGAATGTGAGGAGTTGATCACAGAGACAGAGAGCAACTTAATTCCCTCAAGTCTCAGTAGACTTGAAGCCTAAACACACAGAGGCCCTGTACAGCTGAGGCCAGCTATTTGTTTTTCCTCAGCTGCTGAGTGAGACTTCACACAGCTTGCACCAGAGGGAGCCATACTTCCCAGCAGTGATGCATTATGGACCATAGGAGGAGACGAGAGAGGGCTGATTGTCGTTGGAGAGGCATGACACCTCCTCAGCGTTCTTTTCACACTTCAACAGCTTTCTTCCACCTCCTCCCACTTTGCCTCTTTTGGGGACAGAATTGAACATACCAGGGTTGAGGCTTGGGAGCAGTGTCCTGCCTTTTGATCTGCACACTGTGCACACATGAACTCAAATGTTCATGTTTATATTAAGTCTGCTATTACTGACCAAAAGCCCTTTTTCATCATGTTTGGTGTTTGGAGTACTCCTGCCAAGGCTGAGGCCTCAGAGCTGGAGCTGGTGCCTGGACGCTGCTCTGTGGCTGCCCGCTGTTCCTCAACGGTTTGGGTGGGTCAAATGCAGAGGATGACTTTCCCCACAAAGACTAATGAAGAATAACTTCATAATTTCATGTATAGTCTCACTCTCTTCAGCCTCTGCAGTTCTGACCACCTATTCACCCTTGCAGTGAACTACAGCAAGCCAAAGCCCACTCCCATCTGTGTGATGAAAGCCAGGCACCTTGGAGTCAGGAGAGGCCCTGCCATGTTTGCACTCAGCTCAGCCATCACCGCAACATTCTCTGTACCCAGACAGCTGCCCAACAGCCGGGCCAGAATTCCTGTCAGTGACTGAGTATACTGTACTGTACATGCTCTCAACCTGGTGCGATTTTGATGATTCTTTATAAAAGGGAACCCTGAGACACATGACTGAACTGATGGAGAAGAAATTAGTCCTAAAGTCCAGTCAAGTATATGACAGAGAAGACTACAGAGAAAGAGATGCAGATAGCTGGGTTAGTGGGGAGCTGAAAACCAGTGAAAAAGCCAAAGCTGAGTGTGACATTTCAACATCTCAGCTACTGTCTGTTGCAAACACACAACCTCAACAAACATGGGGGGTTTCTTAACTTTTGACATACATAACAGAGATGTTTTCCCTCAGAGATGTAGCAAGTGTGGTAGAAGAAATGGAATCTGAGCTCATCGGTGGTGATAATCAGACGAGTTAATTGTAACATTTCAATGGGAATATACACTGACTCAAAAAGTATCCACTGAACATCTAACTGAGGCTTCCAGAGATAATAACATTTACTCTGCTGCATTCAAATACTAGTCAGAAATATTTCCACAGGCTTTGAAGACAGAAGCATCAAACTCTTAGGTAAACTCTGACTAACAAGCTGCAATGAGTGCTCTAGATGTGAGAGAGCAGTACACAACAACACTTACCACTTCTGTGTTTGTGATTTTAGCCAGCACATCTGTCAGGCTGTCGCCCCACTGTGACTGGTCAGCTGAATCCAGCTGTAGGCCGCAGATCGCTGCCCCCACGCTTCCTGTGGCGATCATGGAGGGAGGGTACATGGCGAAACTGAAATCTGCCAGAGGAAGAAACAGAGTAAAATGTGTTTTCAGTGATGTTTCTGCAAATAATACACATATACATTTATTGTTGCACTAGGTGAGCAGCCAAGTGGTTTAAGGTTTAAATGAATAAATCAGCTGATTAATCACCAGATTGTTTATTCACTTTTTTAATGACACTTTTGCTCTAGAAAAATGGGACAGCGATATGTCCCCCCAGACACAATATAGTTTGGTAATCTAGCAGTCAGCTAATAAATAATCCTTCTATTGCACCTGGTCTGAACGCAGCACTTACTAATGACCAAGGGCCTGGATAATGAGGGTTCACTTAGTTTGTAAAGGAGCTGAAAAGCAATCACCCTCACCAGCTCCCCACCCCAGTCCCAGCCCAGCCCCGTTTCTTCCATCCCCCTGAGTAAATCGTGTGCTCGCTGAAAAAAGCCCCATAGTGCTTGGAAAGGGTGGAATAAAGAGGCTCAGTGCCTCTGCCAGTGCTCACTGCTGTAGGTCCTTTTTCCACGTGTGGTCACAGGCGTGCGTCTCAAAGACCAATAACCTTGTTAGCTCCCCTCACTGTCATTCATAATGCAAATGAGACAGCTTGTGAACGGGCCAGAAGCCCGAAAAGGCAAGGCAACTGGCATACAGGGGGAGAGAGAGGGACAGAGTGAGGGGGACAGGCGGGGATAGAGAGAGTGCGTTTTTCTCTTCACAAACCGAGACACACACTCAGTCCATTTACTATTCTCTCTTTATGTCTTGTTCAACTTCTACCTTTCTTTCTGGACAACACATGGCCTGCTTAGATGGGAATAGTGAATGGCACACATGCCCTGGTCTTTGTTGCTACAACAGGCAGTGGTTTGCACTGGCAGCCCTCCTATCTTTTAGCATATTAATAGAGTGGTGGGCCTGTGAGAGGGAAGGCAGAAGAGTGTGACTCCATTGTCCAGAGTCATCACCCATCACCTCATTTCACCCAATTGAGAGACAGCATCCATCCTCTCTGTGCTGATGCCAATTCAGCGAGACAGGCTGGACAAAGGCTGTGGCTGGACAGGGGGACAAGAGGGTCGGCAGGGGGAGGAAGATGAAGAAGGAGGGATAGACGGTGTGGCAACAAGGAGAAAAGAAGGAAAGGCGGTGGGTGTGGTGGGAGAGGAGAAGGGGGGTGGATGACTCTGCTGCACATGACTCCCAAGTCTGTGTCCAGACTCTTGTGGGGCTTTTGGGAGAAGAAAAGAGTCGCCGTCCAGCGACCCTCACCTCCTGCCCCCCGCACAACTATGCCTCTGTTCCTGGGCCACCTATGGTCTAGAGGAGTGGGCAGTGAGGGCATAGAAACAGTCTGCACATTAACATATTGCCATATTCAACTACAAAGCAAACTGCATGTGATGGCTCTGAAGGAGATTTTTCTTCCTTATTTTTTTTTTATCTGGACTCAAAGAGGTAGGCCCTTTGATAGCTGTAAAGACAGCCCCTCACTGCCTTTTTAAGATGCACAGCCAGGCGCATTCTCATCTTGTGGGCTCAGTGTTGACAAATAAATGAACTTATTATACACCCTTGTGTTAGCTGCTGGGCCTCTGCCAAGGGGCGATTTATTAAAGGCTGTATCAAGCCAAGAGGAAAGAGCACACAAAGCTTTTCACCATTACATCACTGCTGTAAGAGCACAACTTTCTATAGAGAGGTAAAAGGACAAAGGTATACATGGCTTTACTGTACATGTGCAGTGAGTACAGACTGACAGACAGGGAGGAGGACATCTGAGAGACACAGGGAGGAAACAATGCAGCAATGCCTGCCTGCTTTAAGACACAAACTAACACAAACGCACACACAGCACAGACAAAGGTTTGTGAGAGAGCTGAGTGGTGGGCAGTGGGCAGCAAGCTGATTTTTCGCACTCAAGACAAGACAAGTCTGTAGCAGAACAAGGACAAGCGCGTGCAGCCGATGCAGGCTGATACTCCGGCCTGGTGGCTGCTGCATGTGGGGGGAAGAATGGCTGTATTTTGGGAGGCCCTCATTGATATTCATGTTGAGGATAAACAGTGTATGTAGCTGAGTGGGGACGCCTGTGATGGAAAGCTCCCTGTGAGCAGCGTCTGGCTGGCCTGGCCTGCACGCCTCTTACCCCCTTCAATGGCCCTTTCTCCTCCCTGTGCCCCCTTGTCTCTATTCCTCCATGTTCATGCCCCCTGAAACTTCATCCTCAGCCTCTGGTCACACAGTCTGCTGCCCTACATGGCCCACTCCTCCTGGGTGGCTGCAATTCACAGTACGTACATTAAACTTGTAAATTAATTAAAGTTGGAAAGTTGAACAACTGCCAAAAGAAAAGACCCTTTTCACACTCTCCTCTCTTTCCAGTGCTGTAAATCAGAGTCTTGTATTCTATACATGTAGCTCTTATTGACCTTGTTTATTAAAGAGGTAGCATTACGAGGACCCAGAACCTGTTGGCGGACGGATTGGGGCCAAAAACAAACATTACTTTGGGACTGGTGTGGCATGTTTCACCACTAATGCAACACAGCCTGGTAGTCAAAACAAAGTCAGTGGAGAGCTGCTCAGACGGTCCACATAGTGCAGCTCATCAGGATGCACAAACAACAACACCTTCCCAACTGGGCTTTGACTAGTTCTTCCAAAAAGAAACAATGACTTGGTACCTCTCTGTGTCATATGTCATTAGCTCTTGTCCCACACTGTCACTCTGGAGACAAAAAAATAAAACTTGGGAGAGTCTGAAACCTTGTTAAAATTGGGATTTCAGCTTATTTGACATAGAACAGAATTCTTCCTGTGCATCCTGTGACAGCTCTCTTCAGTTGTGCACCAACATTTGAAGTGTCACAGCTGCAACACTGGTGTATAGGCAGCATCAGTGATGAGGACCCTACAGGTTTGAATCAGATCAAGGGAGAGAAACAGGTGAGTTCATGTTTCACCATATTGGAAGAGCTGCCACTAACTTCATAATCACAGTAATTAGTCTTGGTGGTAAAATTTTGATCTCCAAGGTAAACATGTAAGCTTGAAGACATTTTGATTGTTAAACATTTTTGGTGGGATATTTGCAGCATTTAAAGCAAAACGCTCTCTCTTTATGCCTGTGGTGTGACTCAGCTGGCCACAGCTTTTATAGTGTGGTGCTGATTATGCCAGTGAGGTGGTGGTGGGGTTAAGTCAGGACGTGCCACTTGATGATTCACTCTGCGTGTCACATTTTTGGGCACATATTGTCAGGAACCTTTTTCCTGCCTCATCCACTGTGGATGCAGCCAAACCGGGCGTGATTCTGCAGATCAGGGGGATGTAGAGGGATGATAATTTGTTAGACGAGGTGGCTAATTTGTTCAGGGTTTTGAGTCACTGAACATGAAGGGGGTTTCATGTAAACAAACACCAGAAAAGAACTTTTCATTGACCACATTTGAGATGAATCATTCATTTCTAAAATGCCGAGCGGAGCCTGAGGGGGATTCTCCATGCACCGATCACTTGGAGAGGAAGCAACAAGGAGCATTCCTG